GCATAGGAAGAGAAGAGAAGAGAAGAGAAGAGAAGAGAAGAGAAGAGAAGAGAAGAGAAGAATTTCCTTCTTACAAATAGGGTGACCTTGGGAGACAGATCCTTTAAGGAAGCTTCCATACAAAGACTTCAAAGCACATGTAAATTAACACATGCAAATTTTAACATTTTTCACCCCAGATCTTTTTGGTACCTAGCTTTGGTACCAGTTGATGCATTTGATAAGAAGGCTGTTACCAGTGAAATACTATATAGTTTTAGTAACACTTGCAGCTTTTGAATGTTAAGTAACATTTTAATTACATAAAGCTGTTACTCTCTTGGAATTCTATACACCATTTGTTTTCATGCTGCCACTACGGATATTCTTCAAGGATTTAAAATCTGAAATAACTCATCTCCCAAAATTCTTACATCTTCATCATTACTTGGATGTCCTGATAATAGAAAAGGGAAGGACAGTCACGTGGTCCATTGGGCAGAGTGCCCAAAGAAACAAATAGGGAAAGAACAACAAAAATGTTGCCTGGCACCAGATTTCAATATAATGAACACAGAGCATCTTGTACTGAACTGACAGGAAAGGGATGTATTCATATTCCATGTCTAAGGCCAAGATTCACTGGGAAGGGTAAAGCAGAAGACTCCATCCTAACCATTACTCACACTGTCAGGTAACTTCTTGTTTCACACAGGGGGAACCGCTGATATAAACAACAATTTTAGGGAAATAAAGTATTACTCAATATCAGGTCAGCATTAATTAACAAAAGCAAAAAAGACACATGCATTCTCTCTCTCTCTCTCTCTCTCTTTCTCTCTCTCTCCCTCTCTCTCTCTCTCTCTCACACACACACACACACGGAGGGAGGGAGGGAGGGAATGGCAACAGTGGTCCATGCTCTGATAAATTTCCAACAGATTAATGCCATGTTGTACATAGAGGAAGAATGCCCAGAAGCTGCAGCCGATACAGAATGCTGCTGTCCATTTGTTGACTTGGGCAGGGAAAGGTGAGCATATGACACCTTTCTGCACTGGCTGCCAACAAGCTACCAGGTCTAATCCAAGATGGTAATCCTAGTGTACAAAACCTTAAATCACAGAGGACCCAGGTACCTGAATGACAACCATCCCCAATACCAAGCAGTCTGGGATTTAATATTGGTGCTCACTCACCTGCTCTTACTTGTGTATGCTCTCTCCTTCCATACATGTTACATGAATAGCATGTATGGAGTCCCTTACAGTACCTTTGATGGTAAACAAATTCAAGGTCCCTTCCAATGCACAACTCTTAATTCTAAAATTTCAGAAAGCAGAGGACTCAGTGCAGCTGTCTGGTGACAACACATCTCAAATACAATAGACAGCTCACAGCCAATAGCATTCTACTGGTGTGCTTTAGTGGAAGCTGGGATTGACCAAGAAGGCATAGGTGATGGGTCGAAATGACCCGTCTTTCCATCCCTCTCCCCATTAAACTATTATGGATGGAAGTCTCTGGCAACCACTATGCCTGGAACTGGAATTCTAAGGAAGTGCTGGAAGCCACTGAAACTTGTCACTGTTCAGATGTGGAGCACATGTGTACAGCATATGTGTTATATAGACTTTAAATCTATGTCTTCAGAGCCTTTTCCTTTTCTTACTCCAGTTTGTGTTGTACACTATCTATTCAAGTTCATTCTGGAAAAGTCCTCTTTGTATGATATTTTAGGATAAAAGAGTGGTTGGAAGCATAATTTTAATAAAGGTGTACTGATTTATACAAAGGAACCAGTTGAAAAGCTCCCATTGCCTTGATCCCAAATGGTCTTAATGTTTTCCTAACTCCATCTGAGAACAACATTTAACAAATTACATAGCTTACCATTTTAACAAATTCCCTATAGAAGAAATGCTAGGTTACCATGGAATCAATCAGTTAACTCTGACACTTATTTATCAAGATTGATAATTCTTTCCTGATGTCTGTCTACTATGATACTTTTCAGCTAAGCAAATTAATTATATATATATATATATATATATATATATATATACACATATATAATTCTTATAAATTAAAACCATCAAATCCTCTAGACTGATACTTTCCTAGTGTCTGTGCCAGGGATGTTGTTAATACCAATCATTCATTCCACAACAGGCAAAAACTATAATCCTATGCATGTTTAGACAGAAAATAGTCTGGCAACTACATGCTAATTATCCAGATCTTCTCTTAGAGAGTAATAGAAGGTGGGGAAAAACAAGTGTTATTTCACTAAATCATTTCAAAGATAAGAAATCTAAACCTTCATGTGTCAATTTAAAAGATTTTAGACATGTTGTACTAGGCATAATTTTAAGTATCTATAGTATACTTCCAAATAATCTTTTCATGGTCTTTAGAGCTTGTTTTGAAAAGAGACATGAATACAATACAAATGTGCAAAAACCAAGCCCATATTTTCAACAAAAGTACATTAAGTCATGTGGACGATTTGTGTAACATCTGAAACACAATTTAAACCAACTTTCAATGTTGAACTTTCCCCCTGATTATTTAAGTCAATTCACCCTGCCAGACACTCTCAGTTAAAATTAAGTGGCATTTAAGGACTTTGGCTTAAAGGAGTTCTGGATCAGGCTGCCAGTCATATGATTTACACACACATGCTGTATACAAAAAATATTTATGTTGTGTTCATAAAGTCTTACTGCATTTAAATTAGTCCAGAGATACTGCTGATATCCTAAAACATCTGCCACATTAGTTCTCAGTAACAAAAGCATTAGTTGCTAACACGATCATACATGAGCTTGCCAGTGCTATAATTCTAGCCAAGGTCTGCATTTTTCCACTGTGTGCTTAAGATGTGCTGTTTCCATTGCAACTGTTCAATAAAATCATAAATCCTTGAATTAAATCAACTGCTTGGGACTCATTCAATTATTTTCTATTAAACTAACCCTCTTGATAATAAGATACAAAACTGATGATCAAGTCTTAGATTCCTTCATCAAGGCATTAGGCTTACTCTGGTGTACTTCAAATACAGAGAGAGATGGGTTCAGAAATATTATTCAAATGAACAAAATGCTATAATAAATAACAATTAGAAAACTTCCAGTAAACATTGTGCCTCATCTGAACAATCTTACAGAAATACTGTAAGATTGTAAAAACCGAAAATAGTAAAATTTGTAAAAAAATATATATTCAAATTTAAAATGATAATGGTATTAGTGACACTTTAAAAAAGATATAGGGACCATTTAAACACTGAGATAAAGCAACTTTACCATAAGACTTAACATTCCTTTTGAAAATACATTGTTGCTATTTTGCTAGTGGAAAATTGTATCTGTAAGATGCAATATAATCATCCTAAAGCTTGGCTGGGTGGAAAGATACTAACATTTGTTCTGAAAGTAAACTTAACTTAATATTCCCTCTGCCAGTTTCACTTGACCCATGCAAATGTTGTCTGTGGCAAATATTAAATCCTTTAATACTAAATAATCAAGAAAATCCATTTAAGAGAAATGTAGTAACACTCTAGTGTCATCACTGAAGATATTGATTATTGTAGTCATTAACTACAGGCTATGATATACACTGTCATCTGAAGATTATATGTACTGTAACAAGAAATTACTGAAGTGATACCAAGGTAGAGAATAGGATGCAGCTGACACTCAGGTAAAGTCACCACCTTCAAGGAATATTGTTACAATCTATAAGCAGATCTTTCCATCAGTACACAGTTATGAGAATTCATTTAGTGCATTGATATAAAATAAGCAAAAAAAAAACCCTTAATTGCTTAAGTTACCACTTTCATTCCTATTAGAGTTGTTCAACAAGATTTTGGTTTTCTGCAGGGAAAAAATATTTTATTTCTTTCTCAGGAAAACATGTAGTTCACCATTTGTAGAGACAGGGATCAATAAAAACTGGCATTGTACAGAAATTCTTCTCTAAAATATGGCTTCTATTTAATTCTCTTATCAAACACTCAAATGCAGCATTTAATGTCTGGGGTCCATTCCCCCACCCCCAGCAAGTGCCCAAAATACACAGGGCTGCTATCACATTAATACCTAGCTGTTATACTTCAGTTTGCAAATGCAGATATTATTTTTCCTTTTACAAGTTACTAAACAATAACACATGGAGGAAGTTACCTTGCATAAAATCACACTTCAGATCACTACTAGAACTGGGAGCAAATCCCTGTGTTTCTACCCAATTCTTTAACTCTATCTATTAAGCCATACAGGTTTCTTTATAAGCATGATGCTATACCATACAGCTATTAATCTAAGGGTACAACTGATATGCACCCACTCTCAACCCAGATTCTGTCCTCAATCCTCTTTTGCTGCTATCTATGACTCACCCATTCAGTTTTAAGAGACAGATTTCCCAAATTACTGGTTGAGATTTCTATATCCATTTATTTGAGATGTTAACAGACTACACTTAGCTAAACTGTGACAATGCATTTATAGGTTATAGGCAGGTATTCTATAAACTCCCTCAACTTTGTGCTCCCCAAATGTGCTTGATGACAACACAAACTGCACGACCAGTCACAGATTGCGGGAACCCTCGTTCAGCCTATGTGGATGACACCACGTTGGAAAAGGGTAGAGCGTGCACTCTGTCAGACTACTTGGATGAATAGGCTGTGTGATTGACACAAAATAAAATTAAATCTATTTCTTCAGAGGAAAGCCCTTCAAAATAATTGAAGTGGTTTTTGTTCAGAGAAACAATAGCAGGAATATAAACCTGTCACTGCTGTGATCAACCTACAAGGAACCACAGCAACCTGCTCCTGGCTGATTCCTCCTGCTCTTCTCATTAAAGTCAAGCATACCGTGATCTATGGATTCTGGGCAGACAGCTTCATTTTTTACGAGGCTTCAACTTCTCAATACTTGGGCTACAAAGCCAGGAGGAGGGGGGGGAGGGGGGAGGCAGCATCAGAAGCCAGGGAGACTTACTTGAACCTGCCTTGGCAGTGCTGGCACTGATCTCCTACCCAGCCTTGGTCACAGAGGCAGGTGGAATTGACACATCGACCCGAGAAGCAGGAGGTCCTTTCGCAGGGCTTAGACTGGGAGACTTGAGCATACAGCACCAGGTACAGTAATCCATAGAAGAGCAGCCAGTTATTCATATCCAAGGTGGTCGAGGGACAGCAGGGGGGCCCCGAAGCGGGTCTCCAGGCGCCGAGGAACGTGGGAGAGCCTCCCATCCTGCGCAGGACTTTCCCCAGAGGATCCAGCATCTTCGCCACGGAGCTCATCCGCAGCCGGATCTCCGGAGAGCCGGGCCAGGAGAGATTAACCCAGTTCCTCCAGCAGATCTAGCGAGGATGGAAGCAATCCCCGCCACTCGGCACACATCACCCAGGTCAGGGGGGAACGCGAGTTTGGCCGGGATGACGAAGAAACAGATCTCGCTCTCCCTCCCAGAAACACGCGCAGACGGGAGCTGGAAAGAAGGAGTTAAGGCTGGAGGGGAGGGGGGGCAGAGCAGGGCAAGCCCCCTCCCCGGAGCCTGTTCCCAAGCTCCTCAGAACACCTCCTGTGTATCCCTCAGGTGAAACGCCAGGGGCAGCCTGCCCGCCTCCTCTTCCTCTTCGTCCTCAGGGCTCATCGCCCCCGTCTCCCATGAACGGCGGGGCTCTCTCCTGACCTTGCCGCTCCCCCCCCCGCGATAATGCACCCCACCGTTCCTCGGCCCCCACCCCACGGTACCTCCCCCTCCTTTCCCCCTTCGCGTTTTTGTTCGGCTCGTCCTCTTTAGGCAGCCACAGCGGGGCAAGGACGACCGCCGAGGTGATGTTCTTCCTAGCAGGCGAGCTCCCAGGCGCTTCCGAGGCTCCTCAGCGCCTGCCCAGCATCCCAAACCCGGGGCTGCGCTGGAGAGAGCCCTCCTCTCGCGCCTTCCGTCCACCAAACTGAGGATCCGCGGCGGGGGAGGAGAGGGGAGCAGGGCAGAGTTAAAAGCCCCCCTCTGTCCCAGCTGACAGTTTGAAAGCAGCCATTTTTAAAAGGCTAATTGTAATCTGCTTTCAGAGGCAGGCGGCTGGCTGGGGCCGAAGCCCTCCCCTTCCTTCTGCGCCCTCCCGCTCCGCCGGGTCTATTTCGATCCGCCGCGCTCCCTCCCCCCTTTCCCGGCCAGGCAGGCCCCGCCTCAGCCAGCGTGAGGGCGCCGGCGCCTCCCCTCTCTCGGAAGAGATTCCCCACAGCCAGAAGGCGCAGGCGGCTCGGTCGCCACTTCAGGATACGCGTTGCTGGAGCAACTGCGCTGAGGAGGATGCGGGCGCAGACTAAGGCCCCGCCGCCTCTGGCCACCGCTGGAAGGGACCGGCGGCGCGCAGGGTAGGCGCGCGGCTCCCCTCCCGCCGACCCCCGGAAAGTTCTTGTCCCGGCCGCCCCCGAGCGACTCCTTCGGCACGGGCGGCCTCGAGTTCAACAGGAATGCCTCCTTTCCGCCTTTTGAAAGCAAGAAGAAAGGGGCACTGGCAACACGGCGAGCCTTCGCTCGCTCGCTCGCCCGCCGTTGCTGCTGCTGCTGCCTTCTCCACAGCTTTGCAGGGGAGCTCTGGAGAGAAAACTACCACACAAAGAAGAGCTGAGCATGTGCAGCAGCAGAGAAGCCCCCTTAAAGGCGCAGCTCGTTGCTCCATTGCATCACTTTAGCGTGACACGAGCGGAGGAAGGAGAGAGAGAGAAGCAAAAGAAGCGTTTGGCCTGATAGGAAAGCGCACAGAACGACGAGACGGCTTGGCATCTTTTCCGCAAGAGAAAAAACAAAGTTCCTGAACTTCTTAAACAACAACAAAAACACCACCAGGCCTGGGAGCTTTTCCAGAAATATTTTGCAAGCTCTGTGACTCACGCAAACAAAATTTGAAACAAAGTGGGCGAGGGAGGGACAGGAGCCGTATTGTTTGGATGACTGGTGCATGTTCATTGCAGCCGCCACTTTTTTTCTCTTGGACCAGGAGCTGTGCCTTTCACAGCTGCATTCAACAAGTACAGCTTATGCTTTCCCTAATTACTACATTGTCATGCTAGAGGAGGCTTCAGTTTTTCGATTACGAAGGTATTAAAAGTGCAGCACCCTTCCCACAAGCAAAACTGGTAATCCAGGGACTATTTTTCCTAGTAAGTTTTACAAGGAAACAGGTATAATGCTTCCATGAGCTACACACTTGTCAACTCCATTAACTTTTTTAGGCTGGACATGCACATGGTGGGCATGTCATGAGCAGAGCCAGCTGGAGCCAGGGGTCAGACTAGATGGTCCAGGAAGCCCCTTCTGACTTGCTCTGTTTCTATATTTCTATGTTTTCTAACTAAGCATCTGCCTATTCCCAGAGTTTGTAGAATACATCACAACAACCCTATGAGGTTAGTTAACTTGAAAGCCTATAACTGAGTCCAGAGACACCTTTAAATGGTTGAGTGGGAACTAGAACACAGTCAAACCTGCTACATCACAATGATGCTTATCTTGTATTCACCTCCTGAGCATTTTTTAACTACAGTGATAAGAACATAACAAAATTCTGCATAACAGCAGCAGGTGTTCGGTTTCCAACAATTTATTCTCTGTCTTCCCTCCACCTCCACCTACCCCAAGAACTTCTGTTTATGATTTCCAGGCCACATGGAACCTAACTTAGGTTTGTAATCATGCATACAGCTATTTGAGAATAGAATTTGTGTGTCTTCTGTCAGCCCATAAATTTCTATGCAGGCAGCATCCAGTGTCTGAAAACTGAACAAGTTCGCTGATCACCTTTAATGCAATAACTGGCAAACTTGCTGTTGGATTCACTTGACACTGTGGGCCTGCAAGCCCCTCTAGAGTCAATAGTGCTCTTCCCACATTGAGCAAGGGACAGGTTTTGTTACACAAGCACTCACCTAATCCACAGCTTTTTAATAAAGGTTAAAACAAGCTGGCTGCTCTGATTTATCAAGGGGATCACAACCCACTTCCCTGCAGCTCAGGTGAATGACTATTGTTCTAGTATTCTGGCAACAATGTTAGAATCGCTGAGACAATAATCCCAGTTAGGGGTGTTGTGTGTGTGGAGGGGGTGGGGGTTGGAGGCTTTAACTAGTGGTGGTAGTGAAACAGCAGTCCCAGATAGGTGACAGGCAGGGAGACTTTAGCCACCTCACTCAGTGACTCCAGACCCTGTGCCTTCCCCAACCCACCCATCTTGAATAGGAACAATGGAGTTGGGGAAAGGTGTATGTACCAGGTATGGGTGTGCAGCCTGACCAACCATCTAGCATCACTTGCAATTCTCAGGACTCCAAGAGACTGTGCATCTCTGAATGCAAACTTCAGACAGGACCCCTCTGTGCCTGTTTCCAGAAGTGTTAATTGTGAGATTATGCTGCCTTGATGTAATCAGTACAGAAACTAGTACTCCTGCTCTGGAGTCACCCCTCATTTGCCCTGTAGTCAGACTGCTGGATTAATGAAGGCTGATTCGGGAAGAAAGAAATGTGCATCTTTCACATGCTATTAATCAGGAATCCTTATCACGTGACTGCGGAGGACCCAAGAGTAGCTGCAGACATCCATCTATAGTTAGAGAGGCAGAATTTCTGGAAGCACATGAGATTTTCAGGCCTCGCTGGGATTCGGGGAAAGCTGTTTCCCTCAAGTTCTAATCAGAAGACATGAAACTTGGCAGGAGCAAGGGGCAGTAACAGAATCACACCTCAGCGTGGATAGCTGGAACAGGGCAAAAGGACATTTAAAAGTGTGGTATCTAAGCAAAAGCATGTAGAACTTCCATTGTGGCAGACAAGTAGATGCTAATTATATGGCTTTCTCCACTTTTAAATAGTATCTTTACTTCTACAGTCCACTAATGCAGATGCAGGACCTATATGTAGCAGTGCAGAATTTTGTTCAACCATTTCTGCAATCCAAATCACAGGAATGAGAGTCAATTTCAGAAATGTTACTACATTTCAATCTTGCTCCAAGTCATTCCAGTGCTATATAACTTTTCAGAATCAGCATTAAAAGCCCTAAAAGAATGAGGCCTTGATAGAAGTATAAGAAAAGACTATAAAATAGAATGTGCCTGAAAAGATAGAAAATGGTTTCTTTGTTTTGTTTACCAACCTGAGCCAAGATGTTTAGGTCCTAATTGTCTCCAAAGGATTACTCCTTTTGATTTTCACCAACAAATAATTACCACTTGAGGAAAATTTTGCTCTTGTACTATACTTTCTTGTCCAGAGAGATTTAAGAGAGATTGTACTTACACAACTACAAGATACAAGCTACAGATACAACATACCACTACAGTATTTGCCATCTGTCCCTGGAACTAAAGGTTTCAATGTACATAGCACAGTCTGATACTGAAAACAGCATGTCTTGTGTCAATTGCTTTGAAATAAGACCATTCAAAAACTAGAAGGTTAGTTGCCTCATACATGAAAAAACCAAAGTAGGCCCAAGTACAGAAGACTGCCCTTTCAAACAATGTCCCTCCACAAGAGAAAGAGGAAAATCTGAATATGTTGTCTAAATCTGCCTCTTTCATTCATGTTGCTGTGGACTCCTGCCGCAACTGTGCAGAGATCAAGAATACAGGACCTTCACTGTATGCTTGTGGTGAGCCATCTGCACTGCTGCTGCTGCCCCTTCCACCAAAGTGACTTGAAAAAGAGCCAGAGAAGAGGTAGCACTACCAGGTTGCCCCCACAGATCTGCCAGTGAGCGAGGGTCCTGATCACTGCTTGCCAGTGATTGAGCAGACAGAGAATGTTAGCTTTTAGTCATTGAGGGACAGTTTCTCCCTAACAAACATTTGCTAACTCTGGCTATTCAAACCTGCAATGATCCCCACCCCCACCCCCACCCCCTTCCCAGCTTTCCTCCTGGTCTTGCTAGCACTCATAATAAATGTAGGAGTTTACTTACTTGCTTTGCATGAAGGTCTGGCCATGATGAGACAGACTTTTCCACTCTGCTTCCTAATGTGGCAGCAGGCAACAGGGCATCAGGGTGAGAGAAAGGAAATTAGTATCATTAGCCCTCTTTACTCTCAAGGAGCTGCTGCCTCCTTTGGACTCTGCAAGTGAAGAGGCTGACCAGAGGCTGAGTGATGAGCAAACATAAAATGCAGACCTAGCCATAGAGACCCGGCACCCAAGAAGTTTGTTGCAGTTTAAAAACCTGTTCCTCCAGGTATGAAATAGGAAGCAGTTCTTTGGCCTGATATTTCACAGGAGTGAGAGACCAATGGGGGGGGGGAGGGTTGCTACATTGCTGGAAAATGAAAGGGAAGCCCAGGTGAGATGTCGAGTGCTTTTCTGCATTATCTCACTGATTTTGGGGCAACCCAAGGAGGCATGATGTGCAAGATGCGGAATCTCTGCAGGCCAGATTATACCTGCATACTGGAGATGCAGCATTCCTAAAGGTGTCCCTGAGAAAAAGCCCAGAAAAATTGTTTTTGTTAATACAAATTTATACACAGAAACCAGGTGTGGCAGGCACCACTTTATGAAATATTCCTCTCTTCCCCTCAACTTTTGATGGCAAATGGCAGGGTTGTGATACCAGTTTTCAATAGGTCCAGGTATCTTACTGCAAATGTTTTAGCTGTTTCAGATTGTTTTTAAGCTTTTTAGGTGTGCCAGCCACCTT